CCATCCCCCCCCCTCACCGGCCCTAGCCTCCTCTCCGCTCAGTCTCTCCTTTACAACTGCATCCTTCATCTCGGGTCATAAGCATTCTTCTGTGTCATAAAACAAAATTAAAATATAAAATAAAATAAAATAAATAAAATAAAATAAGCCCATCTTTCCCCCAGCTGCTGCAATCTCCCTGTTAACCAAACTTGAAACAAGTTGTCTCTACTCAAGAAACAAGATGCTTCCTCCATTTCATCTCCTGCTTAACCTCAACCCTCCACTCAACTATTCTTCTCACGATCTTCAGTAATCCCCCTGTATTTAAATCAAATGACACATTTCATCCTCACCTTGACCACCCCGAGCCTTTGGTGTTGAGGACCACTCTCCTTATCGAAACACTTTTTACCTGATTCTCCGCATTACTCTCCAGATTTTCCCTTTCTGCTCTGGACCCTTCCTGGGAAACATTTTTTTTTTCTTCTTCATCCTGCCTCTTAGGTTCTGTCTTAGGTCATTTTACAGGAAGTGCTCTCCCTGGGTGATCTCACCTACTCGCAGGGCTTCAGTTATCATCTATATGCTGATAAATCCAAAATTCCTTATCTCCAGTCATATCCCTCTTTTGGACTCCAAGGTTTTAAGCCTGGCTATTAGGCATTTTCAATTGAACATTTGAACATACTTAAACTGAACTCATTAATTCCTCTAACCCTACTCCCCCAATCTAGCTCTTTTCTCCCCCGTTACTACCACTTCTCCATCTAGACATCATTCTAGACCTCTCCCTCATCATATGTGAATTACACCCAAGTTTTTATTAAAAAAAAAAGTATCACTTGATATAAATAGAATGGAAATTGAATAGATTATTATGAAACACTAGCTAGATGTAGATGTCTGCTCTCTTGATTTAAAAGAAAAAGAGGATTCAGAAGTGTTAAAGAGCTGACACCAAATAAAACTTTTCCGTTAAGTTATTCAGGAATGAAAAAGGCTTGAAAAAAGAATAAATTTTTATCTTTGGTTCAATGTATTTTGTGACCTGTTTGCCAGCTGCTGTCAAATTGCATATATCTGTAGTATCCATCCCACAATTTGGGTAAACTGAGGAACAAAATGAAGCTGCAGTACAGCACTGGAATGTGGCATGGACTCCATCTATTAAGCAATTCTTATTAAATGGTCAAGGGGCCTAAAAGCAGTTCAAATAACAATTTCATACATTGTCTAACTACAAACAAGCCTCTAAAAGTAATGTCAGTTGGGTTGAAGTCATCTCATAGAAGGAAATTTTTCTGTTGAAAAGCAGTTAATTAAAACAGGGAGTAGCTGTCTTGTGGTGAAATGCTCCACAGAATTTTGATCTCAACCAGTCTTTTGGTTGCCATAACCTAGTACTAGACATTTCTCAGTTCATCTGTGACCTTTCTTACCTTCTAAATATTGTAGCTGGGGCCTGTGAGAGCAAAAGGAGGGGAAATTAGAAGAGCAAATCCTCTCATCCACATTTTGACGGTTAATTTGTACTGGATAACTTGTAAGAGTTTCAGCTGACGGTCCTCAAAAACCTTCCTCAGCCATGCCAGGTATAACTGGGTCCAAAGCCACCAGGATTCCTAAAGACTATTAAGAGACAAAAAAGATTGATTCCATAGGGAACAAGACTTGAGGTTGGGACTTCTACTGTGTGATGAAAAGGTTCTACTCCTGCAGCAATAATTTTACACTGTGTTAAATGTCGCAATACTTAATTAAAAGGGTGGCCTTTTAATTACTAAGATAAAAAGGTGGAGGCAGCTAGGTGTGTTAAAAGCAGCTTCAAATATTGTGGTCTCCGACCATGCCACCCTGAACAAGCCGGATCTCATCTGATCTTGGAAGCTAAGCAGAGTCGGGCCTGGTTAGTACTTGGATGGGAGACCACCTAGGAAGACCAGGTACTGTAGGTGTAAAAAATAAAAAAAATAAGGGATTATAAGCTTGTGTCTGTCAAAATACACCCCAAAAAGGTCAGGAAACTTATGACAGCTTTCACTTGACCAAACGTGTGTATTGGTAGAATTATGTCTACTGCTCAGTCAAAAACTGCCATCCTATATGGAGCATCCAGTATACGCCTACATATAGTAGGCATTTTGTACTATGGCTACTATGAATGAATGAATGAATGAATGAATGAATGCAAGAAAATTCTTCACTGGCCACTGCAAAGAGCAAGCACACCAAAGTGGTCTCTCCTATGGAATTCCGAGGTAGGCCCCAAATGATGGAGAAGAAATTAATAAAATCTTAATGTAGGACATGAACCCCAAAATGGAAAGGGGTCACCAAGTGTATCACTGAAAAAGTTCAGACCATCAAGAACAACAATCCTAAAATTTTACAGAGAGAAACAAGTCATGTGTGGGAATAAAAATGACATCAAACTCAAGAGAATCTAGAAAACGATGGAAATTTGCAAACCTCTGAAAATTTTTTCAAGAGTTCTATTCCCAGGTAATATCTCTCAAGCGTTCAGGGAAAATAAAGATATTTTCATACATGCAAAGACTCAAACATTTTACCTCCCATATATTCTCAGGAAGCTTGTGGAGGTTATTTTCCACCATATAAAGGAGGAAACCAAGAAAAAGAAAGACATGGTCCAGGAAACAGAGAATCTAACACAGAAGAGAGGGAATGGGGATTCCCAAGATACCGTCTGGGTGGCAGGTCTAAACAGCCTGAAGCAGAAGAATGGAAGGTATCAGGAAGACTAGCACCCAAAAATTAATTTTATGGGTTTAGACCAGGTGAGTAATTATGCTTTGAGGCTACAGTACAATTTCAAATTTGAAGAATTTGAAAATAATTGTCAACAGTCACAAAGAAAAATACACAAATAAAAAATGAGGTAATTATTTCAGAGAAAAAATTTCAAGGAAGAAAATCTTGCCATAGTATGTATAGATTGACTCAATAGTAAATAGTATTTATATGATCATGATAATGTGAACACAATTGATTTAATACAAAATTTTGATCTATTTTAGCCAATGGGAAATAATGGGGTATGAGAGTGCAAATCTTTGACTGCTAGAACTGCAAACCAATAAATTATCATGCTCTCTCCTTACAGTGGTTTCTTTGAGGAGAAAAGAAAGGTGTGGCGGTATATCCATTTTTGCACCCAAACACTTCTCCATTTCTGGGGGAATACTTCATGTTATCAAACTTGGTGAGGCAACACGATTCTTCCCCTGCCTGGCTAAATCAGCACACGTCAGACCATGGCTCAACCGATCAAATGCTTTCACTTGGCATTTTGAAACTCAAGTAATTGTCCTAAAGATGCAGGTGCAACTGGAACAATATCCATTGTGTAGTGATGAGTGCCCAGAGTTGATGGCATCAGCAGTGGACATTTCCAGGGACGAGACCTGAGCTGCATTTTCGTTTGGCGGTCCCTCATAGATAACTGCTTTCTGAGTTACGTTCTCCAGCTTTCCTTCAACTCTGTGAGTCCCTACCATGCCTCTAGTATACGCCTTTTCTGCTTAAAGTGTCCAGAGTGGATATGTTTCCTTCCGAGAACTGACAGTGAACAACTAAGAAGAAAGTACCTCTAACCCCGTAGAAAGGGGATTACACAATAATGCAAGCAACAGGTTAACAATACTCTTCAGATCAGGCAGAACTATCCCTTCAAATTGTAGGAAAGCTTCCGATAGAAATTATGTCTAGAAAAAGTGGGTAGGTATTTTCAAAAGATATCTCTTTCATGATGTACAAAGAAATTTTCTTTCTCTGACAGCTGTGTGTGAGTGTATCAAGTTTCACTAGACTGAAAGCTCCCTGAGGACAAGGATCCTCTTTCATCTTTTAATTCGCCACAGCCTTGTGTGTAGAAAGCTCTCAAAACTACACATATGAACACCTTTGTCTTTACTATCGTGCATTAGATTGCTAAATTCGTGTTCACACCTCTGACTTAATCTTAGATTTAGAATTTCCTACGGACTTTGTCTTAATTGAAACCCAACAGGGGCTCCAGGGATCTCTTCTTAGTGGTCATTTGCAATATGGGGAACTAGTAGTATTTCTCAAGATGGGGTTGAGAATTCCGTGAAAAATCCAGGAAGGGGGCACCCGGATTTGAACCGGGGACCTCTTGATCTGCAGTCAAATGCTCTACCCCTGAGCTATACCCCCTTGACCTGACACTTGTCTTGCTCCTTGTCCACTTATGGTGACTCAGTGCAATCAGGTTCCACCCACACTAATTCTGACATGTTCTAAAGACTTACCTTCTTTTGTGTCCATCATCTGCTTGGGCTTTTCTCCTTCCTACCAATAAACTGGGTGGGGGCACTTGAAAACATCAGCTTGAAAACTAGCTAAAGAGGAAACTGACATAGCATTAATAGAGAAAGTGTCCACAAGTACAGTATTACTGTGTCAGAATCCTTGGGCTAAAAAGCACCCCAGATATTACTTTGTTCATGCCCTGCTCTTGATGAATTGAGGGTGAAAAGGAGAAAGAAAATGTCAGTTCTTTTGGATGGGATGACTCAGGAAAATTGGGAAATCCTTCTCAAGGGCAACCATTGGCCAATCTCTATGGTTGCACTGCCTGCTCTGTTTTTGATGGAAATAGCCGCCTTCTGACCTAGCTCTGCTGATGCCTGAAGAATTGCTTGGTTGAGGGCTAGGTAGTGTATTTCCTCCTTATCACACCAGCAGGTGTGAACAGAGGCCTCTCAAAGCCTGGCACTCGTTGGCATGGAGTGTAAGGGCACAGACCTGAGACGCACTCTCCTCTCACCTCCATTGGAAAGAGAAGCTGAGAGTAAAGACATAGCTTGCCCTTCCTCCCACCTCAGGGAAGAAACAGCACACTTAGAAGCACAAATGAAAAAATTTTAATATAAAATAACATCGAGAGTTCATCTAAACATCTGTCATAGAACTTGAGGTCGAGGGATGTGAAGGGACAGCTGCTATTAGAAGAGAGGGAATTGGGTGACCTCTCCAAAAACAGACGGGCGCTGGCGGAGGGCTGGGGTATTCCTGCGATAGCCAAAACGACCATTGAACCCCCTGTTCATTTTCACATCAGCATTGTAGTGGTCATGGCCGGTCACCTGCTGAAGGGAATGCCCTTGGGGTGGAGAGAGAGGTTTGAGCTTGCATTCAGCTCCCTCTTGCTTTCCCCACTCCCATAGGGCCGGTATTAAGATCCCAGCCCAGGTACTGTCACTGTGCTCTCCATGTCCAGCTGAACCCTCAAGCCTCTTGGCTGATAAGTCAAGTGTCGGTGAAGTCAAGGAGACAGATGACTTCCTAGAAACCCAATCTCATACCAGGAATAGCATGCAGAAGGAACATGAATAATACAGGAGGGTTAGAAACTTCTGGGCTTAACTGAACTTGGCTCACTCCCAGAACTGGGAAATTTTCACCCTTGCCTCTGACCCATCTGGAGAAAATAGATGAGCTCATTTTGGCCTAATGGTGCAAAAGTCATGTGACTAGAGTGCAGCCAAAGGGTGGTGGAGTTGGGGTGGGAGGGTTCAGAAAAACATCTGTCAGAAAAACATCTCTCAACTCTTCCTTCCCTGTTGCTACTTAATTGGGCCTGAAAAATGAGCAGGACAGAACCTGCAGGAGCAATGTGAGAGGAATACAGGCTTTCGAGTTGGAAAGAGGGGAATTCGATCCCAGCCCACCCCT